AGAGAGAGAGAGAGTGAGAAAGAGATTCGATATTTTAGGACTATATTCACAGAGACGAATTGGTATGTGCGGACCAGATTACGACGAGATACTTGGAACGAGGCGCCACCAAAAGGTGGATATATTTTCTTTTCTTTTTCTTTCTCTCTCTTTTTTTTTTTTTTTTTTGGTCTGCCTGCCTGAATTCATGCCAGGAGGTTGTGTTACATGTTAGTCACCTGATGGGTCTCCTGGACAGTGGTCGACGACGTGGCGTTGTTCAACAACTGACACGAGACCAAGCTCTCCTCCTGCTTCTCGGTCTCCGCCAGAGACTCGGCTAACCTCTCCTTTAATTCAATGTCGGACTCATTGTACGAATTGAGGCTTATCGACACCGATTCCATCTTGAACTCTCGATTGCTCTGGTCGTCGTACAACAGCGATTGCGAGGAATCTACCGTGAACGGCGTCAGGCCGGACGTGATACTGGCATTGGACGTGGGGGGGCTGGGAGGGCTTCCGGGCAACGTCGACGGTGGTGGTAGGGGGGTGGTGGTCTCTGTCGAGATTCTCTCCGCGGTGGGGACGCGCGTATGCTCCTCGTTCCTCGTCTCGGGGGCGGCCAACAGGGTCGAGGAGGGGGGGGAGGAAAGCTGTTCCGGTGGCAAGGGATAATAATCGAAAGAATCTACCTGTTGTCGTTGAATCGCGTGCTGGGAAGGAAAAGGTCGTCCGCGAGGCTGGGCACGCGCTCGAGTTGGTCGACGAGCATGGTTCGCCGATTCGACGTTTCGTCGTCGCTCGTCGTCGTGGTCGTGGTCGTGGTCGTGGTCGTGGGAGGAGGAGGAGAAGGAAGGGGAGGAACAGCAACGACATCCGCGACCGGCTCGGATTCGTTCGGATTCTCGATCGGTCGCCGCTCCTCCTCCGCCGAAATTCTGGGCGGGGAGGGGGGAGGGGGGTTGCTCGCCTCGATCATCAGCTCGGGATCGAATTTCTCCCGAGGGGCGACACAGACGACTCCCCCGGCGGGGAAAGATTCGAGGGGAGGAGAAGAAGGTTCGGAGGGAGGGGGAAGGACGGAGGAGGATCGGAGGAGGTTGCTCGCCTCCTCCTCCTCCTTCTCCTCCTCCTCCTCCTCGAGGATCGCTGAATTATCCTGGGAACGAAGGTTGGAAGAGGAGCAGCTTCGGTCAACGATAACCGGCTCTTGTTGGTCGGGGAACAACGAGCAACAATCCTCCTCCTCCTCCTCCTCCTCCGCCACCTCCTCCTCCCCCTCCTGCTGCTTGGATCGTTGTCGTCCGTCCGCCATTTCGGAGATGAGGATCTCTTCCACGGCCACGGCCATGTCCGTCGAATGCACGGTTTCCGTCTCCAATTTGTCCGTTGCCTCCGCAATGGCTTGGACCGGCTCCACCCCGCACGAATTTACCTCCTCGTCCTCCGGGATGACGAGAGCCGGCTTCGCCTCGACCAGCATCTCCTCCACCTCCTCCTTCTCCTCCTCCTGCTCCTCCTCCTCCTCCTCCTGCCGAGGCTCGCAAGAGACGGGCACCGGCCCCTCCTCGGATTCCACGATCGCGTCGATCGTGGCCACCGGTGGATCGACCACCGTCGCGCGCTCCTCTTCTCGCGCCGCCTCGTTCGGCGCGATCATCTCCTCGATCGACTCTCGTATCTCCTCCTCCCGCGTGTTCGCGGGCCGGGACGAGGCCGAGGCGGATGCCGATTCTCGCCTCGCCACGCTCTCCTCCACTATCTCCGAGATTATTTCCGAGACGATCGCGTTATTGTCCATCGATCTCCCGCCGTCCTCGGGATCCAACCTGCTCGTCGTCGTCAACGTCGTCGTAGTGATCGTCGAGGAGGATCCCATCGTCTCGTGGACGCGCCTCATCTCGTCGCCGACCGGAAGAGGCCGATCGTTGTTATCGTGATCGTTACAAGCCTGCGGCCGTTCGTCTTCGACGGCGTGTTGGGGGAGGGTGGGAAGGGGGTGGTGGGGCTCGATGGCCTCGCGAACGACAAGCGCGCAGGACGATTGGGAATTAACGTGCGAATCGTCGTCCCTGTCTACCACCACCGGTAGCGGAGCAAGGTTGGCCGCGGTTGGAGGGGCGAGATCGGTTGAAGAAGCGGTGGGGGGGCGAAATGTTGGGAGCAGCGAGCAGCCTCCGCAGGCAGTTTGAGCGCCTCGGCGAGGGCGGTCGCGGTGGCCGCGGCCTGCTGAGCTTGCTGCAACGGCGACGAGTCAATGGGGGTTGGAGGCGGGCTGGACGGAGGCAGGGAAGGAATATCCTCACTGGTTTTCCTCTCAATGATAGACGGCGTAGCGACTGTCTGGGCTCGGAATACGGAGGCTTCTAGCACCGGGTCGGACTGACCACCGACGGCTGGACTGACCTCGACTGCTTTTTTCTCGGCCTCGAGAAGTTTTTCCACCTCCTCTTTCTTTTCCTCGACCGGGGCGGGAGTTGGATCGGCGCTCTCCTCCGTCTTTTCCTCGGCGGGGCTACTGGCCGCCGACGCCGCGCCGCTGCTCTCCTCCTTCGCCTCCGCGACGCTCGACGCAGGTTGTGGCGATGACGCTGGTGAGGACGCCGCTGCTACGGCCGCCGCCTCCTCGTTTTCCGTCGTCGGACTGCTCACCGCCGATTTCTCCTCCACGGGGCTGCCCGATCCGTTCTCCTGCTCCTCGCCGCCCTGCAACATTTTCCGCACGATACACGTTTGCGTGATACACCCGAACGCGGTGAACCTCTCCCGATTCGCGATCGTCGAACGCTAACTTCTCTCGACGTTAAGCGACTCACTTAACGCCTCTCTCCTCTTTCGCTTTCCGTACTGTCACGAGTCGTGACGAAGGTCGAGGATCGACCAAATCTAATAAATCATCACGAGTGGAATGAATCTTTTCAATCGAGATTTAATTTTTACCAGCCATGAGAAAATCACGATCCTACCGCTTGGGCCCGCACTTCGTCGAGTTGAATGACATCGAAGCGTGTAGCGCCTAACCGATTCGTGACGAAACGGACGAGAGATAATCTGTATATAGAATACTCGCAGACTAGGGGGGGGGAGGAGAGAGAGAGAAAGAGGAGAATGCGTGAAAGTTATATTCCGATACGCGCACGAAAAGACATGCACTATTTTTCCCATATTACTTTTGCCGAGTTTCGATATTCGGTCGACGCGATGGGATACGCGATCCTCGTGTGTTGTGTCGCAATGAATCGAAGAAACACGAGTGGAAACGAAATCAATGGTTGAAACCGAAGCGGGAAATGGAAACCGGACGCGCGGAACGCAGAGTGTGTGTGCTTTATCGTCCCCAGACCTCGGGTATCGATCGGGTGGATAAGTGAAACCCCTTCTCGCCCCTTCCCCCATGCGTATTTTCGTAAGGGGTAAACTTCTCTCTCTCTCTCTCTAGCTTAAAGAATTACACAGCCCCTCGAGGGGTTGCGGTACCCAACAGCTTTTTAAGTAGTTGCCCGAGTGCTTTTTCTCGCGTGCCGCCGCCACAACGATTTCTTCTTCAAACGAAGCGAGAGCGCGAAAGAGGTACGAATTTGGCCAAACTGTGGAGAGGAGGAGGAGGGATAGGATGGTATGGATCTTCCCCGGGACGGAAAAAGACGGGGGATTTTTGGCCGATTGCCAAAATGTGTGTCGTGGTTCGGGGGCCATTGTCCGCTAGGCTAAACGGAAAGAAACACCGGGCTAATAAACTTCCGATTATATCTTCGACTCGCGATACAATCGGGTGGAACGACGTTCCAAGTTGGCGCCAACCTTGTATCATTGGCCGTCGACCAATTTCGATCAGAATTGCAAATAGAAATTGCGAGGCGCAAATATTCTCGTTGGCGATCGCAAACACTACTTCTCGTTAACCGTTAAACGTCCGATGTTTACACCTGGTCGAAACGGTCACTGATCCGCGTAACCGATCTCGACGAGTTGAGAAACAGTTGAGAAAGAAGCATATATATACGTACGAAGTACGTGCATGGTTGGTAGATGAAACAGCGCCAAAATTAATTTCTTCTCTTTGGACGAACGCGCGCTTTCCCTTTTTAGCTCGCGAACAGTTGCGTAAAAAGAGAAGAAAAAAGTGTAACGAAGAAACGTTGTGTCGTTAACGCGCTCGAATAGCATGACCGAGGCTCCAACGACGCGTTCGTAAAAAAGATGGTGGGCAAACTGGCTATTCCCCGTCTCCCTCTCTCTCTCTATCCATCTATCTATCTCTCTTTCTATCTATCTCTCTTTCTTTCTATCTATCTATCTATCTATCTATCTCTGTCGCCAATCGCGTATTGTCACGGTCTGAATGCGCATCGTGGAAAAACTTATTCTTATTCGCGTTCCTTTCCCCCCACCTCTTCCTCCCTCTCCTTCCCGTCCTTCTTCCTTTTTAATATTATTATTTATCGATCTTTTTCTAGGATCGAATTACGAATTACAGCGGTGTTTATTCGGTTCACCGAGCGTGTCAGACGCTGATATCGGTCACGGCGTGAAAACGAAGCCAAACGGTGGACAAGTTAGATGCATTTAATATCCGCGCCAAGGTAAATCGGGGAATAAAGCTGCGATTCGAGATGTTTCGTCGTGCGTGTATGCGCCAGGCCAAAATTTCCCACTTTTTAATACGAACACAAATGAGAGGAAATAACGGTCGATCGAGCTCGACGACGACGACATCTATCTTCTTCGTTTATCTGGAAAGTGGAAAGTGATGGGAAATGGCACGAATCGTCTCTAATAACTCTAAATTTTTCTCAACGCGATTCGATCGAAAAAGTAAAGCCGACCTCGTCCATTTATCGAATAACAATGAATCGTAAAGAGAAGTCCCGATTTCGCATTTGATCACTGATTGGCCGTAAAATCGATTTGTCCCAGGCCAGAAACGCGATTGAATTTCTCGTCATGGACGTGGACTAATTTATCCAGGTATTAATTTTCATCGATTCGAAGGTAGGTTTTTGCGCGGATCGACGCGGCAGCGGCCGCTTATGTATCGCGTTCATTCCGGTTGAGCGCGACTATAATTCGATACGCGAAACCTTAAAACGCGTTCACCCACGTGGAATGCGAGAGGGAAAAGAGAGGCTCGCCGAGTATGATCTTTTCGTGCTATTTTCGTTCGACGAGGTGGTGGTCGATGGGCGGCGATGTTTCTTCTTCTTCTTCTTCTTCTTCTTCTTCTCGAGCTTCTTCTCGCGGCCGAGAAATTATATATATATATGTATAAAATATATTGGCGTATTGCGCGTCAACGACGACGAGCTGCCACCACGCCACGATCGCCGGTTTCGGTTTACCTTTGTTTCTACCACTCCGTGTTCAAACCCGTGGAACAATGGATTATCGCGTAAAAACGATATCGACCGACGAGGCGACAGACATAAATAAAATATCGCGTATTCGCGCGAAACCAGTTCGTTCTCTCTCGAAACGATCGAATTAACCAACACCACGATCTCGACGCCCATTAATCGATCCGAGCGTGGCCATCTGGGTCGGTTATTCGATCGTACCGCATAGAAAAAGATCCTCAAGAGGCGAAGAGAAGCGTTCGAGATATCCACGATAATCCACGCGAGAGAACGAAATAAGTATCGTACCAGGGAAGAAGTTTCGGCTTCCTCGACTTCCTCGAGTTCCGGTGGGGCCACAGCGACGCCCAATAGTGGCACGTAAGACAAAACTCTTCTAGCTCCTCGAGCGAATGCACCCGCCACTCGGTATACACCACTGCTCACACTGCGACCCGCCTTCGTGATAGATTCCATCATTTTTGCCAAAAATTTTTCCCACTGGACAATTGGCCTTTGAAAAAATATCGCGATAACTGGTGTACAGGAACGATCGAGATTCGATGCGAACGACCAAGACGCGTGAGACTCTCCAACTTCGAGAACGATCCTCTTTATCCTTCGATTTTCGAATTGGACGTAATAACTGGTCTATTTCGATCCATACGCATATATATATACATATAGGAAACTAGCAAAAAGCATCACTTGCGAGCAAACTACTTTTGCCACGATCTATTAATAGTCGCTGGATGTGGCCTAGCAATGGCCAGGAAAAAAAAATGCGCGTTACTCTGATAAGGAGAAAAGTCGCGATAGGTAATTATATATCTCGTGTCGATCGGAAAGGAGACGTAGAATGATTCAATGAGTTAGTCATAGTTTGATCAGAGAACTGGTAGAATTCGTAGAAACATTATTTCCCATGATGAAAATTTCCAAGGTTGCGAACAGAATCGAACAGAAGAATAAAACGTGTACGATGGAATTAACATCACGATCTTGGCCGTTCGTGAAATTTGTCGAGCGTGTACTACCTTTTCGTCTCGCATGCACGCGCACGCGCACGCACGATCACCGAACAGAGAGAAAGATCCGTACGAACTGTTCGCCGTTGGCGAACTACTCGGACCAGGCTGTGAGTTCCCCGTGGTTTATATAGAGTCCAATAGAGAGGATCGTCCCACGTCTCGGTGAGAGAAGAAGAAGAAGAAGAAGAAGAAGAAGAAGAAGAAGAAGAGAGGAGTGTGTTACCGATACACACGTGGAAACACGGAAAAAGAGAAAGAAGAAATGCGTGACCGAAGTAACGAAAAATATAACGAAGAAGAACAAAAGCAATGATGCCTGATTCATCGACATCTCGTAACGAGGAGAGAAACGAATTCCTATCCAAACTTCTCTTCTCTTCTCTGTTTTGCTCTCGAGAGGAGCAAAATGGAATAGGTTTTCTTTCTTAATTCTGACTGAACGCGAGCCTCGTAAAATGGAAAACAAAGCCGCGCGCCACTTTGCACACCGGTTGAAATAAACCTTGCGAAAAATTCTGCGAAAAGAAACGACGAGAGAGAGAGAGAGAGAGAGAGAGAGAGAGAGAGAGAGAGAGAGAGACGACGTACGA